AGATGTTAAATGTGTTTCATATTTTCACAACACTGAAATTGTTTTTTTATTTGAATGTCCTTCACATGGTTGTAGTTGTTGGAAATGATGCATTATCCTTGAGCCTTTGAAAAGGGAATTTATTTAACTTGCATGCATTTATTTTAAGTGAAAAACAAATTGTTTAAAGCAATGATCAATTGCTACTGTGAGTATCTTTGTAAATTGAACAGGTCCGGGGAAAAACATTAAAAACAATACAAAACAAATTTTTCAAGTACAACACTAAATGCATTAAATGTGCCATGGTGATTGAAATTTGGTGACACCAATAATAAATTTATAGAATTCGGGTTATGAAATTTGCATAATCATATTTACAATAAAATGTCTTATTTTATCGAGAAAAGAATAAAAGTAATGACTATGTGATTCCTATTGGTGCCAATTAGAGTCTCAAATTTTCAAATTAGATCGGTTTTATTTTTTGTATTTTAAGTCCAAGTTGATTTATGAAATATTTTCAATTTAATGTGGTTATGTGTTTATTATTATTATCATCATTATCATTATTATTATTATTATCATTATTACTACTATTATTATTGTTATTATTATTATTATAATTTGAACCTCATTATTACTTTAAAGCTCTGTTAGCCCTTGTCAATTACAATTTTTCAATTTTCTAAAAACCAAAGATACATATAATGGGAATACATTTCTATTGAGTAATCAAGATAAGATATGAAATATGTCGATTCAAAGTGAGAAATTATTTGCTGCTGTTTTTCCTTGTAGTGATATCTTTGTGATCTCGATTTAAAATTATTTTTTGATTCAATGTGCGTGACAGGCAATTTATATTTATTACGTAAATAAGTTCATATAAGATGATTAATGTCACAGGGATCGATATCTTATTGATCACGAGTTTTGGTGACATAATTATAAGCTTAATAGTGTATAATATGCAACGGTAACAACATTTATTTGAATGTCTTGTTGAGTTGTACCTGAATTCTTTAAGTTCACAAACAAAGTTTTATGTTGTTGTTGTAATTGTTGTTGTGTTGTTTATTCTATTGTTTTTTTGTTTGTTTGTTTGTTTTTTGTTGTTTTGTTTTGTTTTTTTGTTGTTTTTTTTTAGGGGGGGTGTTTTTTGCCTTCTTTTTTATATTTTTTGTTTGCTTGTTTTTACGTTGCACCTTCACAGTCATATGGCGATTAATGTTTCTTTTCTGACTTATAAGGTTATGTTTATGGTGCCCCCACATGCATTGTTTCGGCACAAAAAGAAAAAAGAGTGTAACCACCGACGTTGTGAAAGCTTTCTGGATAGCTTTTTCGCATGATTGTTTTCATAGTCAGTTCCGCACTTTTTGTGGGTCTGTATGTTTGATTATAACTTCACTATTAGAGTAAATGTACTGAAGAGAGGTGGTCTTACCAAATCGTTACTTATTTGTTCAAAGTTTTTAATAAACATAATGTCACAAAAATCTGTACATATTGTTGGTAAATCTAATTGATTGATATTGTTATTAAAATATACTCAATGTACATGATTTGGAACATCTTGGTCAGCGTATTTATATTTAGATATTCCATTTATCTGCAATTATTATTATTATATTGAACGTTTTTGTTTTTAAGAAATACAATATGATGCTTATGAATTATATACCAGTTGTTTTGTGTCGATCTTTCTGATAGAAGGGTATTATGATGAATGACAATTTTATGTAAATCGAACTATAACACAGAATATTGATAGCATATAAATATGTCTAAATCTCATTGCTGAAACCCGTTCGAAGCAGTTGCAATCAAACCGAGCCTGCAACATTTTCAATTTTGCCGTGTTGGGCTTTCTTTAGGGATTCTGTATTTATCTATTTTATATATCATTCATTTAATGATATTCACTCCATAATTTATTGAACATATCAATGTCAAATATGATTTACAGATATAAACCAGAATTTGATGTATGTGTAATATCTTTGCATTTGTTGTTAAAAAACAAAAGGACACAAAGAAGCCGGACGAATATAATAACGATAAAACTAAACAGCAAAACATGTGACTTTGTTTAAATGGCATTGAACAGACTCAATCAAACCGAGGCTGCAATTTTCATGTAATTTTGTTGTGATTAATGCTTCCGAATTCCAGATTTTTGTAGAAATAGTCCAATTATTGAAAATTAATTCGTGATATGTATCGGAAAGTTTTGTTGCCGGGTTTATTTCTAAAGTACTACATACAATCGAGAAGGATAATCGTTATGTTTGAACGTTCTAGAACTGCATTTAATGATCCTACAATCTGAACAAACTTACACAAACAACAACACTAACTGAAAGAAACAGATGAGAAACATTGATTTTAATTTTATTGTATTAATAATTTTCATTCTGAGTTGAACAAAAAAACATTAGCACTTCATTTATGCTGCTATTACTTGTAAATGCATTTGCTGCTGCTTTTAATTGCATTTTACATTCTATTTTAAATGGCATAGCGCCAATTACTCACAATATGCACGTGTATACAGTTGAGATAGTGTAAACAATAAACTTCCCAACAGCTTTAAAATATATCAATATTAGGAACAAAAGAAAATTGTTTGTTTCTTTGTGGTTTTCAAACGAGGGATAGCATTGTTACTGAAATAATAAAGTGTTATAAATAAAAAATGTTATAAAGTTTACGACGATAGAAAGGATGAAAATAACGTATATCTGTATCTATTTTGTTTGTGACTTATCATTGCTAAATTGATGACAATCCCTTCTCCCATATATTCAACTGAATAATGTTGTTACTAAAAGAAATCTCATTGATCTCATTGATTAGATGATATAACTAATTATTTCAGCATCAATTAATAGCTTCTGCTCAGAGTATTCGTGTCACATGTAGAGTCCAAGTGCAAATGGTAAATGTAATGAACCCTAGGCAGTAACTTAGAATAAAGAATATTTATTGAATATGAATTAATTCGAATAAAATATTGAGTTTGTAGCAACGTCAAATCTCTTAATTGTTGAAAGGTAGCAGGTGTCATTTTTTTAATTTGCGTTCTACGATAGATTAAATGCCCTTGAAACATTACAAGGAAATATAAAAAGATAAACGACTTGTTCAAAAAAAGTATATTCACTCCGGCCATTAAAGGTTTTTTTTTTCCTATTTTCGATAATAACCTATGGTTAAACGTTGATTGTATGCGAACCAAATTTGTTGAAATGTTCATAAAGTGCATATTATATACACGACGACCTTGAAATTAAGTAAATCTTTAAGTTATAATATTGATCATATCTGTAAATTGATTCTGTTTCCTTTACATTACATATGGATTATCAAGTGAAACAAAACTAGATTGCAAATATTGAGATATATGTACATTAACAACATGCCAATTCAGATGCTTTTTATTTCAGAAAATGTAAAATGCATAACAAAATATTAAAAGGTGTTCCAGTATCAAGCAAAATTTTGTGTGTTTATTTTCAAAAAACTTCTATATTCTTTTTTGACAAAACCGTAGAAACTTGTTTCTTTAATTTTTTTACATTATATACTAAACATACAACTGTGCCACATTATTATTGACTGAATAACTTGCATCTGCTGATAACGATGTAACTTTTCATCACAAATTATGATTTGATAGAATTCAATATAGATAAACATTTCTGTAAGAAACCTGTAAAATAGTATCTGTAAAGCATTTATTTAGATTCCTTATTGAATACACATTTCTGGCAACATGTTGAAGTAAGTTTTAATTATCTTGCATTAATGATTAGATCACTCAGGTGTTGAAATCATTCAAATGTCCTCTTATCCAACAAAACTGATGCGATATTATGAGATATTCTTAATAAATGTGTTACATTTAATCAAGATGGTGGTTATTATACACGGCGTGTGCCAATATTTATAAGCTTACGCAAATGTTTACTTCTGCTGGAGACAGTTTACTCCAATTTAAATGTTTATTTGTTGACAGAACAAACTGGGAGACACTGAACAGATTTTTTTTATCTTTTATCAAGTCATTTTTGCATACAACTACACCTTTTGACATCAGTGTTATAATAAAATACTTATTTCTATACAGTGTTCTTTTACGAATTCGAAAAAATGATACATAGTTTTTGTTATAAATTTTAGGAACTCGACTTGAATATCTAGTTGATTTTTTAGTAAGATAATTCTCTGCTAATGATAAAAATATAGCGCCGAAGTTTGGCCCTAAGGAAAATCTAATCTAAGGAAAATCACTTTATTTAGATCTACATCAACCTGACTTCAAACTCGTATGTACCATCAAGGATAACAAATACATTTATATCAATTATACATTTCAAGCAGACTGTCGTCTAAAATAATGATATTTTAAATTGTACATTTTTGACAAATTTAATGTTGATTTCTTGTATATTATCGGACAGGTTTTCATTATAAATCGTGAAAATGTGCAAGATATGTTAGACGGTGCAAAGATAAGGAGACTGTTCAGAAGCAAACATATTTTGTTTATATAAAAAAATAACCAAAAACGACCAAAGGCAGTTCATTAAATCGTACGATTCATTTATTTATTATCACCATTGGCAGAGATTAATATGATTTTAATAGTATGGTTAAAGTAAACATAGTTAAAACTGATAATATCAGTGTGACGATGTTCATTTTTTATTCATTTTCTGAGAACAATTTATTTAGATAAAACACTTAATAATTAACGAAAATTATCACCACGTTTTGAAATGATAACGGACATATATGGTATAAATAAGAACTTTTCTTTTAGAAAATGAATACAATATGAGAGGAAACTGAGACTCGTTTAATATGAAAACATGTCTTTTTACCACAATCAATATAACTGAACACTTACTGTACAAGTACATATAGTTACAGTTGAATTATATTCTGACGTTTTTAGATATATTTAGAAAACAAGAGACACAAATCTTTAATGACAGAAAATTATCCTTTTTGATTGAAACTAAGGTAGAGAAAATAATAGCGTAAGACTGAAAACGTGATTGGCATTTCATATATTCGACATATGATTCTTTTTGAATCGATAATTTATGTGTATCGGGTTATGAAATGTATGCATAAAATACAATAGGTGCAGTGATGTTATTTGTTAATTATTGTCATTGGAGTCTTAATGTCCAAATAACTTGTAATATTATTTCATTCATCACCGCTTTTAAATCCCGCTCCTTCGTAGTAAAAGAACTGGAATGTTTGGATTTATAAGAAAAAATGTAAAACAGTTCAAGTTTAACTTTATAATAAAGATTTTAATAAGTAACACCTTATACCTTTACTGTATATTTTGTCAACAATCATGTATGTTTATAGTTTTCTAAGTTATTATAAAATTGCTTCTATCAAAACTGATAACACAAAGACAAATAAAGAATAATGAAGGCATAAAATGTCAAAACAATTGATCATCGGACGGACACAACTTCCCTACGAACTACAGTTTAACTCTGCTTCCATGTAAATTATATATCTATTTTGGTAAAGGTTGAGCGTGACGTACACCTTCCAATTTACTTAACGGCACTGGGCGGGATATATCAATTTTCCGTATGATTATTGTTCTTCTTCTGACAATAAGATTTCACGAATTTCAGAAATCTGGAAAGTACATTTTCAATGAATTATTGATGTCGTAATTCAGACAGACAATGGCTGATAATTTGAATATCAAACTTGTAAATTGTGTTATTTTATTTATACTCAACCTTTAGACAAATTGATATCTTAAAGGTCATGACATAAATATAGAACAACATAAGAAATAAAAAGATGAAACTTTTCACAAAGGATAATGTCAAACTCATGTTATGTAACAATAAGGAATAGCAAGCATACACTTTTTTCGTTCATCGACGATTCACATATTTTCTGGGCGAATCAAGATTATAATATCGATGTATTTTCATCAACTGTAGAAAGTTCGAAATGTACTAAGGGAAGTTTTTTTATTTGAAATGGCCATGTTTGATCTTGTAAATAAACACAATTTTCTCTATGTGTGTGTGTGTGTGTGTGTGTGTGTGTGCGTGTGCGCGTTTGCGTATACGCGTGTTTGCGTGCATGCGCGTACGTGTTTTTGCGTGTTAAAAGCAAAGTTGCTAAAAATAGAAACTTGAATTATTCGCTTGAGCAAACAGAGCCATTTCAGATATAAAACTTTCCTTATTTCATTTCCAACAATCAAGCAATTACTTTTTCTCTTATTTTCTACACAGATGAAAAAAAGACAATAAATATGTTATTTAGTTTATATTACACTAATAAAACACAGTATTTTATAACTGATCATGAAACAAATCATTATATCTTCATACAGATCTAAGAATTTGTAAATGCTGTTAAATCTACATATTGTTTCAATTAAAACTTGTGATGAATAAATGATCAGTTTATTTGATATATTCTCCGTGCGAGCATACAGGTATTTACTTTACTTTTGAATGAATTATAACAACTATAAGTTGTGTAATATGCAAGCTTCTAGCACGTGTTGTAAAAACACGTCATGTAAAAACAAATTTGTTATGTGAATTGAAAGGTGTTGATAAAAATATGACAAGCACGTTCCTCCGTACTGCAAATATTAAAATATCAGTTAAGTTCTAAAGGTTTTATGTTGTACGTGTAAGAATATCAGATACCAATTGCTTTTAATAGAAATTAGTATTGATTAATATCCCACAGGGACTAAAGCAATCAAATTATCTTTTATCATACTTTCAATCTGTCTAAGATTATTGGTTTCAAACCTGTCTTTATCACTAGCTAAACGATCTTTTTAATTCTTCTTATTATTGAATGGTGTCTTAGTAAGTTTTTTTGACATTGCTGATATTCCCATTTAATTTGTATCACAAAATTTATCGGGCCATTACACACTTATGTTTTGATGAATTAATGAATTAACAACACATTTCACTTATCGATCCTGTATGTTTTTAAAATTACATTTAGATTTTAAAGCTTATTAATTTTGTAATATTTGTAATGGTTAAACGTATTTCCCAAATGAGTTGTCATATTTTATATCTAAACATATTTTTATATTAGACTTAATCTTTGATCTATTAATGATTTATGACTAAACAGTTCATATCATAGGAAATATGCCTATGAGCACTAATAAAACTGCTTTACATCTTAATGATTTCATCAAAATATACACATTAAAATGAACGTATCCTTACATGTTTAAAAAATTTATATAACAATAAGTACTTTCAATTAATATTTAATCATATTCAAACAATGAAACATAAACGTAACATACGAAATAAATTAAAACATAAATAGAATGTGAAAGTATATACACATGGCATCACCTTTATTTAGAATCATTAGGTCATTCGTATTCCTATAGTGCATCTTCTGAGTTGTCATAGTGTATTTTCGTTGACGTCACTTCGATAGAATCTCTATGAAATACTTTATCCTTTTTATATTTACACACCATTTTTAGACAAGGGCATATTTTTAAAAAAGCATCTGAATATACTTTTCGAAAGTCTCTCATGAAGAACGGATAAATAATAGGGTTTATAAGGCTATTGCACCATCCAAGCCATACAAACGCCCTAAACAGTTTTGGCGGAACACACATACATATAGCATCCGTAATGTTAACGACTAAAAATGGAGCCCACGTGACAACATACGCCCCGACAATTATTCCTAATGTGACGGTTGCTTTTCTGGTAAAAGGTTCCCGGATATGTTTATTTGCTACTTTCGCGCCAAGTAGCATGTTCGTCGGGGTAATTAACACACCGACAAAGCACGCCTGTCTTTTTGCTTCCTTAGAAACTCTGTAATACAACACTAAAGCGACGATAATTGGCAATAAAATAGTCACTGTAGACGCAATTACAACGTATATTAAACTTGGAATGAAAAGACATTGTGGCGTGTCTGATAGTAACGTTAGATTAGTCAGGGTCGGAAGTTCTGGGTTATGAATTCCGGAAAGAAGTGGAATGAAAGACGCAGATATGGCAATCCCCCATGCAGCGGCTAACAACGCTGCTGCCCGTCTGTATGTAATCAAAACTTTGTATCTTAATGGAGACATAATAGCAATATACCTGTCTAAGCTGATTAGACATACATTTAATATAGAAGCACTACACAACATCACATCAAATCCCGCCCAAAATACACAAAATGAATAAGCAAGTATCCATCGCTGAAAAATTACACTGAGAACATCGGGAATCATCACAACTGTACCAACAAGAAGATCAGCTAAACTCAATGATATGATGAACAAATTGGACACAGTTCGCAGTTTCTTAGTAAATATCACAGCCAAAAACACTATTACGTTACCAGCAATGGTAAGTAGAACTAACAAGAAAAGGAATGCACCAATCATAACATTACCAACTTCCGGGTCATCTCCTGTCGCTTGAATATCAACAACCTCTGCTACTTGCTTATTGACACTAAGCCGCTCCGTAGAATCAATCACCAGACGGTCATAGCTTTGGTTGTTTTGAATGAAAGTACTTGACGAGGTACAATTTGTGAAATACGTCATGTCAATTTATTTGAAAAAGATATTGTCATGTCAATATTTTCAAAATTGTTAAATAAATATCAACATTTTTGAGATTGCGCTTTACTTTCCTCACAATATATATCCACTTTGTATAATATCCTTGTAAAAGATTTCTCATTTATTATTCCCCCATATGCATTCGTTTAATGTTTTGTATCTTTGTATGCTATTGAAATGTGTTGTTTTTTAATCAAAATTGACTCATTTCATTTTTAATGTACTTTTGTTATTCGATACAATAATATTTATTTATATTGTGTCAATATTTGTATGACTTTCACCTTCTACTCCCACGCAAGCTGATACTTTATTCCCATTTATCTTAATTATTTCTTTAGCTTGTCCTTTCCGCTATATCCATTCAAAGTCAAAATGTCAATTAGAAGTAATATTTTCCCGTTCATTTTACATGGAATTGTCACGTTCTTCGTTTGCTCCTAATCTCACTATTAGAAGAAAAACAAATCGACGCTTTGTATAAACATTTCCGCCTCATTTCTCGACAGCTAAATATTGAAGTCTTACCATAGTTTAAATATCATGATTTTTAACACCGTCATGTAGTACTAACACGTTACTATAATTTCAGGAATTCAATGATGCTGTATTCTTTGTAGTGCACTTAAAGTCAGCAACGTTATTTTAAATGTCTCGATATTTAAGCATATGTGTTTGACATTAAGTAGTGTGGCGTTTTAAATTCCATTCATAGGACTCCTCAAACAATTGTTTCACAAAAGTGTATTTTTTCTTTTTCTTTTTTCACTCGAAAATACAATACTTTGATATTTACTGTTTGTAACAATTAATGTATTTTTTTTAATTTTTTATAAATAATATTTCTTTTCTACCTTTTAGAAATCGATTTTTCTTGTAATGATAAATTTTCATTAATTCTGCAACTTCGATAAAATCCAATTTATTTATGAAAATTTATAGCATCTAATTACACTCTGAGAAACATCTGAGTTAACGGATATGAAGCACTGTTTCACAGAATTAGCTGTCACTCCCGTATAGGTATTCAGAGATCGAATGCCAACTGACGATTCCTTGGATTCATTATTGAACATTACAAGGAAAATATCCGATACTTATGTCTTTCTGTTTACGACCGTAGTAGGCTTGCTTTTATCATTTCAGCGTTAAAAGCATTCAGTAGGCGCTGTTCCATAAGGCAGAAGCTCATAAATAAGTAATGAAATCCCGCTTCAAAGCCTTTTCTGTTGCTAACACTTAGCTTTTATTACTTGTTGCTTAAGTCTGCATTTTTTTTCATTTTTACGAAGGAAAAGATTTTCTTCCAAAACAATAAAAAAATCAATTAAAATTATTCAAATATAGTGCTGAATTCAAGTGAAGAATCTGAAAAACGGAATATACATGTAATTGAAATGAAGAAACATTTTCTCTAAGTAAATCTTGTGTTTGAAATAATAAGCGAATACAAATTTAACAATATACATGTATAACAAACTTAAGTGATGGTTTGCAATGAACACTTTAAGAATTTTTTTTCTACAGTGCGTTGCTATAAAAAACACCGCGTGATTAGGTATTTTTCTTTTCACGCCCGTTCCTGACCGCGTGACTGAGGCCAAAGCACGAGGTTATGTTATAATAAAAGGCGCCCTGGCAACCTTAGAGCGCTTGTGACCCTAAACTCTTAAACTGACCAGTGAAAATACTGCCTCTACTGTATGTTTTCATATTATCGTAAAATTTTCATTCCGTTTTCTAGTACGATTAACCTCTTTCAACTTTTCATTCTTAAATTGCATAATAGTGTTGGTCATATTCGCAAATTAGTTATTTAACAGAGACATCTTTTACGAGCTATGCAACATAACATTTATTTGTCTGTAGGTCATTATAGTATAATAGATGATATGACGGAAACTCCCCCGGGGTTTTAAACATTCTTATTTAGATGAATAGAAGTGTAAATACTGAATCTAAATATAGATACACCCTAGATCGGATAAACTGCAAATATCTATGATTAAAATATCATGTCTCATACACTACAAAAAGCCTTATTTACTTGTCAAAATGTTTTTTATTGTAAATAATAAGATAGTTATGTTGTTTTTCATTAGTACTTTTTATAAGTTTGTTTTTAAAAATTTACCTACAAAGCTTAATGATTTGTATTTATAATTTAAAAGAGTATATTGCTATATCTAATTAAATATTTTCATAAAATTTAAAAACGGTAAAATTATGTTGTTTCAATAATATAATGGTGGATTCCAAGAATAATAACATGAGTCATTTCTGTTAAGTAACACACATGAAAACTGTGTATTAACAGAATAAAATGTTCCGGAACAAAATATCATGCTGCTATTAAAAGTTTAGCAATGTTTGTTTTTCGGCATGGCACATTCGCTCAAAAGGAATTATAACAAAATATGACTTTTATACAGGAATTTTAGATTGTTCATTCAAATATTCAATAACTCTATGCGGCAAAAATGTCGTTTTATAGTTTATACACATTTAAACATCATTTTGTAACTATTTTTATTACTATTAGTATTTAAAGAAAGATTTACCTTAACATTAGTAAAATTGATAGTGAAGTGATATGTTTGACAGTTTTATTTTCATTGCAGTTCATTGTAATTAGTGTATTATGATATAAAGAAAATGTTACTTTGAATCAGCATATTGTAATTTGAACCCAGTTCAACTTAAAAATTATAATAGTAAATAACTTTCTATCTGTCTAGTTGCTTTCCAGTTAAATAAACTAAATCTGCTGCAAAGCACTTTGGTAAATTGCCTTTTTTTCTAAGGTTCACTAGATCTTATTATCTATAAACTGTTGATTCTTTTTCAAATCTAGCACTGAAATAAAATTTACTGTGCAAATATCACAATTATCAAATCTTACTACTATCAAACATTATCCCATAATGCAATTAAACACACCATACGACTTAATATGTTTTTGAAGGTTTAAATAAGCTTAAACATTCACGTATTCATTTAATTCGATTTTGAAACTAGTTCTTGCAACATTTGAGCAACATTTCTTTGAACCCATCAGAGTGTCTTAACTCGAGTATACCTCGAACACACGATCTCCGGGTTGCATTATACACGAAACATCATTCGCTTCACCTCAATCAACAACTTTTTTACAAGCACGCTTGATAGTTCCATTTCATTGAATACATTATTCCCGTCAGACTTTACATGATAATCTACACTACTTTCCCTAACTCTAAAAAGAAACTTTGACTTGTGCATGAACTGTGCGCGTAGTAGTCAATGGTGTGGTGAAATTAAATTAGATGCTGCGAAACAAAATTAATTAAGTCATTTATCTATATAAAATATATTGATCAGTAGCAGTGAGCAGGAATGCATGTTTTAAAAAATTCAAATAAATCTTCACACAAGGCGGCCTGGCGTTATTTTTTTCTTGTTCGGTGAACCATAATAAAATTGTGAATTAACTTCACTTACGATGCATGATTGAGTCCATAAAAATGCAAATTTTGTTTAAATTATATGCGAACGTAAATGATTATTTTTTTCAGATTCTACATGCCAGTTGTAGGACCAGTGCGTCGTTAATATTCAATGTAGAATACTGTTTTTGCAAAATCAATTACAAGATTTCCAATTTTATATTAAACTTACACATATTTTTATGTAGATCATCTCTCTCCTTAATTGAAAATACAGAAATTTCGCAGACTTCTCAAAATGCAATATTCAATTTAATATATTTCAAATAATTGGGTCTATGATTTGGAATACGGAAACAAAATGATCATCTGACATGAATACTTTCAGTAAAAAAATATTTGAACCTGAGTTAAACACGGTTTAAATTACAACAGAGTAGATATGGCCTGCCTGAGACCAATTCAACATTTTTTTGCAATTAATCTAGACTATGATATATTAGTCACTACATGTACATCTCATTTAATTCCCATTATGTAGCTCAATGAAAATCATAGAGTAATTCGAAGACCAAATTCACGAATGTTTAGTGTGTTAGGAAAACGTCAGGAAAAATGAATCATATTATTGTATACGTGAAGTTGAAATCGTGAATTCGTGAAGTTTAAATCGTGAATTCCGTATTTTGAAAACGGGAATTCACGAAGTTGAAATCGTAAATTCTTGAAGGTGAAGTCGTGAATTCATGAAGTTGAATCGTGAATTCCGTATTTTGAGCTTGACCTGTTGGGCTAAATGCCAAAAATTATTACGAAACATTACGAAACATTGCCGAATGTAAAAATGACTACTTTAAACACTTTAGCAATATTTCGCTATATTTCTTGTAATAATGTACGCAAAAACGAGTCAGTATGATGTTGCTAGCATCTGAATTACTTAGACCTGAACAACTCGATATCCAATTACGTTAAATGACAGTTCCGTAATTGAAACAGTCAATTAATGCATTGTACGGAAATGAAACATAGAATAATGCTTTTGACAAGATTGAACATTAAGTTTCTCTATAATACGAATATGTGTCTTTATCTTGGCACTCAACTTCGCTCTATCAGTATGTTACATGACATGTTTGCAAATTTGATACGTCAAATCGTTGACATATTACTTCTTTATGCCGAGATGTTTCCATTTAAACAATGCATCTGTAAGTCTGATAATTCTTAATGTGTATTATGGTGAACATTTTACTTTAATACAAAAATGATTAACAATATTTGTAATAAAGTTTGATTTATACCATATAAGATAATAATGTAACACAACATTATGCATCGTTGAAAGGTCGGAGATTCATAAACTGTTTACAACAAATCTAAAAAAATATCATGTGTGTTTATGTATTGAAATTGTCTCATTCTTACACATTACGATTTAAATACATTGAAGCATGAAAATTATGGATTTAAGGTTTTTTCCTGTACACAAGCCTTTTGATTTATCTAAAAAAAATGCCACGTACAACAACTACTATAGTTTTCATGTTTCTTTTGTCATTATGTGCTTACCTCTTACTATACTTTGAGACACAAGTTCGCAGTGTCCAACAGAGAACCACGTTTATAACAAATGTATATGAATTACTACGAGCAATAAAAATACATGCTTGAAAACTTAAATACAAGGAAAGGTCAATTTTAAATGTTTATAACATTGCTCCTTGTAATAACATGAATAACTTGTTGCAATTATTTGTACAAGAATCGGATTCATTTTAATATATCGATCGATATATTCTTCAATTATATCAAGCTCAAATTAAAACAAATAATCATACTCGTATCCATGTAGTTGCCTTTGTTTCCTTGAGCAAGAAACTAGATTTAAGTGTGTTTCAATAAGCTTGTTGCTTTCAATACAATCGAACAAAAATAAAGTCGTATAAACTAATCTATTATTACTAGGTGAAAACAAATATTTTTATTTTTTAATCCTCTTTATTCATTAAAAGATAGTTCACTGTTTTATTTATAGTTTACTTGAAAATACAGATACATGCCATGCGATTTAATTTGATAACGTTGTGACAGTCGAGAAACAACTTTCAAGGAGAAACATCTCAAATGAACTTCCTTTTTCTGCCAGTAACAGAATGAACGGCGGCGACAATTTCCGCTTGTTAAGGAAAGCTTTAATTGTGGTGCTCACTAATGCAATAATAACACTAAAATCACATTATCTCAACATCTTTTATTTATTGACAAGTATTTAATCATACCGTGATCATAGCAGATGACTTCAGGGCAATGTTAATAAACGAATGCTTTATCATTGTAACAAAAAATCTACTGCATATTTCCGAATATGGTTTCTGGTTTACATAATATTCATCGCATTGGTCAATTGTTCTTTTTATAATATTAATCTCTGTATTCATAATTATACATGCAGAACTATTTACGTAAATCTTCTTTCTGTCCAGTGTTTAGTGCCACAAATCAACCCTATGCAAATTAGTTTAAAAATAAAACTAGATTTATATTACAGACAAAATGCTTATGATCATTATATTATGTTCTAGAAAGTGTTTTTCCTGAAACGTTACCAGACTAATAATCTACTTAATACACCCAGGGCATTTTGTCCCTGTAAATTATTTATTAAATATTCAAGAGATTTTCTGCAAGCTTGCAGCGCAAAT